TCATTCTCCAAGTACAACAGTTCAATAGCTTTAAAAGTGTATTCTACTTTTCAGGAAAATAGAACACGTAGCCCTGCTGCCTTCTCCATGTTTGATTCTCCTTCTATGTTTCAGGGCTCTGTGATACAGTCACTCTTGAAATGAATGTACATGGCTTTTGCAATATTGTTAAAAACACATTATGCAGCAAACATGAACCCAGTTTAGGGTTCTCCAGGAGAATAGCATAAAAAAATCCACACTTGATGTCAACCCCATTTGATGTCCTGGTTCATACAACATGCTAGACTAGGTGAAAAGAATATGGTTGGGTAGTTTGCAGTTCAACATGTAAATAAAGGAGCCAGTCCTTTATTTTAGCATATGGTGTGAAAAAGGCCATCAAGTTAAGCTAGAGGCGGACAACCTATGAGGTGCCCGTAGTCTATCAGCATCTCAGCTGCATCCCTCAAGTGCCTGAGATCATGCGGCTGAAATTTGTCTGACAACTTGTCTGAATTTGACTGATGCATTTTTGGACTTTATGGGAGGGTTAGGGTGGGAATGGGAATAGTATTGGCTTGGTCTCCTGTTTCTGTCCTCATCCTTAGCCCTTTGCTAAAGCCAAAACATCAGACTAAAGGGGATGGCCTCCTGTGACCCTTGGAAATCAGGAGACAAAGTTGCCGCACATGACCCTATAAATGTTGCCCACCCATGAGTTAAGCCACAGTCTACATTGTTTACTTGGGCATAGCTATGTAAACACCACAGTTGGTTGTTGTTAACTCAGGATTAGAGGTTGCATGTGAAATGGACCAGCCTATGAAATAATTTGTCTTCTGATGGGATGGGACTAATTCATATCTCTCTAATGAAGTAATCAGTATCTTAGTATGAATTAGTTGTAAGAAAAACAGGATAGGTACCTAACCATGAGTTGTATTTGGAAATCTGTTATGGGAATTAATCTTAGTTTATCACAACAATATAGGTTCAGAAAGTATAAACCCATTTAAAATCCTAAAAACATATAGACAGATAGCTCTAAAAGTATGAATCACTGGATGTAGTTAACTGGATATTACTAACTGATTATGCTTTACGTATATCATGATGCTTTGTCTTGGCTCCTTTATATGATTACTTATAATTCAGCGGCTATTTGAAAACAGATGATTAGCTTTAGTGATTGAAATTCTGCAAAATTAACACCAAGTTTGACTGCCAGTGGCAAGAAACCCTAGGACGAGAGTTTAAGTTACATTTTATTTTTGGTTGCTCTTGGTTTAAATGGAAGATTCTAAAGCAAACAGGGTATGAATATATATATTTTCTCCTTGTATATTTCTTTAATTGGAACCCCTACTTAGTGTTCCTGCTGGGGTTATAAAGTCACTGAACAAATTGAGCACATAAGGAATTTGGGGGGTGGGGGGAGGAATGGGAACAGTGTATAAATAGAAACTTCCTGCTCCAACAACTCAGACATTTCCTCCTGATATTTTGTTCTGTGAAGATTTTAGACAAGGCAAAGGAGAGTACCGTTCTAATGACATGAAGAGATCTTGCAGTGTATCATAATGCTTCTTCCTGGTGCTTAGTAAGACTGCTTCTCCAGAATAAATCTAAAGGCTTCTGTGAAATTTCCTTCTCTGAGAAATCTGTAGTATTTGCTGGTCTAAGATTAAATCTAGAAGCCAGATTTCATACAATCCTTTTTTTTTTTCCTTCTAATCTCTAAATGCTATCATTATTCATAGGTTCTCTAATTGCAAAGGTGTGATTTGAATTGTTCAGTGCATATTAAGATTACAACTTGTAAAGCTCCCCAAAACTCTTTTTAAAACTGAGTTTAGCTAAGGTGTTTCCATGGAGCAAGTAAGTAGTGGGATTCAATTTTATAAATAAAAATTTTCTCAAATTTGCTAAGAAAATGTGCTATCAGCCAGCATAGTTTCCTTTCTCACTCTTACATTAGAGAAACCCCATTATGATCTTATAAACTCTTTTCACACTTTTCATCCCACTTTTTCATTCATATACTCTTCAAATAAATGGGCTCATTTGGACCAGATCCCCACTAGACTGGGAATGTTCACAGTCACTCATGCCCTGGTCACCTCCCGGATGGACAATTGTAATGCACTCTACATGGGGCTGCCCTTGAAGCGTATCCAGAAGCTTCAGCTGATGCAGAATGCAGTAGTGTGGGCAGTTATGTGTGCCCTAGAATGGCACACGTTAGACTTCTGCTTCATGAGATGCATTGGTTGCCAGTTTTCTTGGGTCCAATTCAAGGTGCTGGTTCTGACCTTTAAAGCCCTTCATGGCATGGGGCTGGGTTATCTGAGGGACCGCCTTTTCCTGATTACATCAGCCCATTCCATCAGATCTGGCAGAAGAGGTATGTTGCGGGTCCCATCTGCTAAACAGCTATATCTGGCATGCCCTGGAGATGGGCCTTTTTCTGCCATGGTGCCCGCCTTATGGAACATAATCTCCCCGCCCCCCGCCAAGGTCAGGCTGGCTCCATCCCTGTTAACTTTTCACAAGTCTCTCAAGAGTTGGCTATGTTATTAGGCTTGGGGAGCCCAATGGAATGGTGAGTTGTTAAGGTGGCTCCCCTGCTGTTAATATCTGTTGCTCTCTCCTTGCCTTTTTTTAATTGTAACATTCATTTTATAATTGTTGATTGATTTTATTGTTTTTAATTTTTTTATTGTGTGCCGCCCAGAGTCATATTTTGTGAGGTGGGCGGCTATATAAATATGATGAATACAAACAAACAAACAAACAAATAAATGTTTCTGTTCTGTGCAGTGTATTGCATCTGGAGCAGAAAGAAAAGCAAATATGTTAATGGTATCACGAATAATGAAATGGCTGCATTGTATGAAATAGAAAACACGAAGAATGTTTATTGTCAGGGCTGCTTATCCCCTTTATATCAGTGAGAATTTAGTTCCCATCAAATTATTTTGGGGGGGAAAAACCCCAAGGGGGTGTTCTTAAGAACATGATAGAAACCAGTCTTTCTCAATTGGGTTATATCTTTGGGGCTTCCCAATTGCTCTAGAACAAGGATGGACAATTTTGGGGGGATGAAGTGCCACAGTGTTGGTTATAGGACTTTATAAGTGCATAGGGTCAGAATATACACATATCCCATTCTCTCTTATAGAGAAAAGTGGATGATCTTCTTCACTATGACCCTCTGGAAGAACAGTTGAGAGCCACGTGTGGTCACAGACATTAAATTGTCCATCTATGATCTAGCTGATAAAGTGATCAAACACTGATTACTGTCAGGAATGTAAGCCAGAGGTTCACTAAATAGAAGAGGCCAATTAATTTGCAAATACTGCTTTAAAAACAGATGTTGTAATTCATTTCTGCACCCTTTACTTTTGAATTATAAAGTCATAAACAGCTGAATGTTAGATGGACATTTATGTACAGATTTCAAAACTATTGATTAGGAGTCTATCTGTGTATATTCAATCAGAATTGTAATGTAATACCCATCAATTTTCTCAGAACCCCCACTGGTTGTATAAGGCATATTGTGAGTCATAAGAAAAGACCTGTTAGAGGCCTGCTGAACATGGATGCACTCTACTTCTGTATGAATGAACATATGGTCATAGGACAGGTCATCATCTAGCCATGCACGCTCAAGCATTGTGGCAAGACTGAACCTAAATATTCATGTAATGGATATTCTCTTGGTCTCCTACAGCATGTCAGATATGGGAGACAGGACAGGGTGCCTCATGGTCCTTGCGTTAGTATAGCCGTATTATATACAAGAAAATGAATGGGGGAGAGCACCAGTAAATTTAGTACACTGGGTTTTACTGTAGTGGAAATATTTTGCAGAGAAATAGGCTCCCTAACCACTTAATGGCTCTTACTTACTCCATGTGCCAAGGGTGGGTGGTTAGGCTTATGTTGGTGTGTACTTCACAGGATCGCTAGTGCTTCTGTTACCTTGACTTTTTTCAAGAACATGATGCTCTCAACACTGTCTTAACTGGCTTTTCCACAGGGTGCCTCCTCCTCATTTCTGCCTTGTGGCTTTTGCTCTGCTTAGCTTGATCAATAGCCTGATGTTTGCTATTGTCCAGCTGTAAAAAATGGGGCTGCTAATTACCCATTATCTCTTCTGTTTGGACTAAGGAATTCAGACAATGAGATTACACATGGAATTCTGTGTTTCTTTCTATCTGTACTTTTTTTTTTAATTGAAGAAAAGGGCAGAATCAACAAAGGCCAACAATCAGTTGGAGCAGAGATGGCTGTGGACAGAACAATCTGCTTTTTCATGGATGAAGGAAGATAAATAATTTCCCTTTAAGTTCTCTAAAGTTCCTAAGCTATTTCATACCAAACACATGTGAGTAGGTGTAGGATGTTTCAGCAGGCAATTTATAGTAACTAAACCAGGTAGACTGAATCTTGTATGGCCTTTTCACTCTACTTTTCTAAGTATACCGGCAGAAAAGATCTGTAATTTAGTCTGAGCATCTTACTGAACAAACCCCAAATATATTTAATATCTTCCATATGAATTGCTCCATAAAGGGAATAACAAACTGGGACTTGCTCTGGATGTTCATTTTCCCTACTTCTCTGATTTTCCTCCTGTGTTATCTTCAATGAGGATCTTCAATATGTTATAAAATGCAAGCTGCAGCACTAAAAGTTGTGCAAATGCATGAGAAACGAGGAAAAAAAAAAAGGTTTCAAGCACTTTATAAATAAATTTTCCAACATCGGTTATTATGGGATGTTTTGCAAAGTGGAGATTTATAGTACCTTTTATGAGCCACCTCAAACTGACAACTCTCTCTATCCCATCATACATCAGATTGTACCTTTGCTATTCATATGGGATTTGGAAAATAAGCAGAAGTTCAGTTTCTTCAGTTTTTCTAATTGTGTCAATCTGTGTCTAATTAGTTTTTCTAATTGTGTCAAAAAAAAATTTCCCGTCTCTTTTGCTTTCGCTACCTTAGGTGTTTGCAAGATCCCCCAAAATTATGCAAGCACAACGTAAACCTTCAAGGTAAGGCTCAAGAGTAGATGTGATTTCTGTATTAAGTGTTTTATCTATGAAGCCCCAACCACTGATTTATTTTTAATTAGGAATATAATCCATTTGCTATTAGTACCATTAATATTTTAGCCTTGCTGTAAATTGATATGAAAAACAAAGGAGAGGTAGACTAGATCGGACCGTGAGGCAGCATTCTCTTCCCACAATGGTCAACCAGATGTCTCCAGGATACCCACAAGCAGGACCAGCAGTTATAGCACCAGCAGTTCTAATGCCAGGAACTATTAGTCTGATGTTCATTGCTGTCAACTGTGGAGGAATATGCAACATCATGTCAAGTAGATCCTGAGAGTTTTGTCCTCCATTAATTGTATACTTATGCAAAACCATTAGTGTAGATGTTACTAGTTCATGAAGGGTCTCTAATTTATGGATGGTTGTCTAGCCATAGTTTTATAAGTGCTAGAAGACTCTTCGTTGTATTTATTGAACACCTAGTGCTTTGCTACCCAGTCATACAAAAGGCTTAATTTTGATGTATTTATTTTAGATTTGTATTCTGGCCTACCATCAGTTCAGGGCAGTATACTCAGCACTCCCTCCTGACTTTCTCTTACTGCCCTGCCCCCATCCTATGATGCCATAATACTTCTTGGAATTATTGTCTGGTGGAAATTTATTTTCCCTGCTTCAGTGGTCTCTGGGAATCCCTTGGTTTCATATCCTGTTCCATATCAGCCCTACTGCCTGATGGAAAAATAATCTATATTGTACCAGCATTCCAATAAAAAAGGAAGCTACAAATATTTTATTTATTTTATTTATATTTCAAATTTGGTCTCTGCTCATCTCACTAGGAAGTGACTCTGGGTGGTTAATATCATCTTGGGGAAAAGTGTAATTTTGAAAGGAATATCCTGTTTTCCCAATTTAGGTTCAAAAACATACATGGAAGTTTAATTAAAAGTTCCCCTGGAAAAAAATGGATATGAACAGAATTTGAGAAGCTCACTTGTTAACACTCCAAGAATACACTTTAGACTTGACAGCACAAGTAAAGTGAAAGAGTGCTTGCTGATTCGTACACAGGCAGATCCTTCACAACTTAGAACTTCGCTCTTATATCTCAACTGTTGATTATTCAGTTGTTTCTCTTTGACCTAGAAACTTGAGCCTAAACCAGGCCATGGAAGACACTTGTGAACTAGACCTGGTATATGTCACAGAACGGATAATTGCTGTCAACTTTGCAAGTTTGTCGGAAGAGCAAACCTTCTGCAGCAACCTTAAGGAGGTGGCTCAAATGCTTAAATCCAAGCATGGGGACAGTTACTTGGTAAGAACTTTGGAAGACTGTGACTCAATGTCATAACTTGCTTTGAAAAACTTTCTGAGAAATGAGTGCATTCTGTCTTAGTGGTTCACTTCAAAAAGAGTTGTAATACCTTTTTGGTACTGGTCTGAACTTTTTCCTGGGCTTACTTCTTTTCTAATTACTTATCCTTATTGCATGAATTGTTTTTTGTGATATGGCATCCCTTTGCCATTTTATCTGTTCGCCTTTATTATCAATTCTGAACACTATCTTTTAGTACGAGGTAAATCTAACAGGGCCAAGATCCTTAAAAACCATCATCTGTCACAGTTCCTTCTCAGTTTTCATTTCAGTATTGCAGCTTACTGAATACAATTAGTGCGCTTGGGGATATTAATAATAAAAACTCATGCTTGAAGTTTTGGAAAGTTTGGAAGGAGGAATCTTGGATATGTGTGTATATATTTCACTGAAATAAACTATGTATTTTCTGTTTCCAGGTGTTTTCCCACCATTTTGTACCAAGCCCAAGATACACCACACAAGCCAACTCTTCTAATATTGTATATTTCTTTTCTTTCTTTTAGCTTCTTAATCTGTCAGAAAGGAGGCATGACATCAGCAAGCTGCATTCCAAGGTAAGATAGATGGTTACTTAGACAACTGCCCAGAGTCACTCTGCAGTGAGATGGGCAGTGACAAATTTGAAACATAAATAAATATATAAATAAAATAACATTTCCAGTAGGGTGCTTGAATGAGAGAGAGAATTGGCCTAGGAAAGGACTAATTTATAACTTTTTATTTCTTTTCAGCTTTTCAGTCACCCTCTGGGGAAACGGGCGGTATATAAATGTGATAAGAAATAAATAAATAAATAAGTTATCGAGTAAATTACAAACCCTATCTTTTGCATTTATTACCCCACCATAGCCCTTGATTTCTCCCCACCTCCAGCATCTTCATCTTTCAGCCTCAGCGATTAGTAAAAAAAGGACAGGTTTATTGATCCATTGAATAATGAAAGACATCCTGTAAGCATAAATGCCTGAAATTTAAGGTCAGCAGCAGGGCACCTGTGGGCACCTAGTTACCCTTGACCAAGAAGATGTCTGCAGGACCTCATGATAAAATTAGTTATTGTGAGATTACCAACTTTTCTCAAGATGTTGGCAGTCTTATCTGAAATCCCGTGAAATTGCAAGTGATCAAAATCCCACAAATTATGGCAGGCTTGCTAGAGTTTGTACATTTTAATTTCTTCCTCCTCCTCCATTAGTGATGGAATTGGGAAACTGAATTTCTGTGTGTTCTGTAACTCAGGAAAAAAAAAAAAGAGCTTTTGAGGCCTAGGTTCCAAAATCCCAAACTGTTTCTCAGAATGGAGAAATTGATATTTGCTAGGAAACTAATACGTCTGCATTCCAGTTACTGTTTGGAATAATAAAATAAGTGGTCTCAATGGCCTAGGAAGACTTGTATGGATTTATGCACACTGATTGTGCAAATTTTCCTCTATGCATCTTTTCGACAACCAGACAGCGTATCTCCAAAAGAAGAGCTATAATTTTTTCAGACCCTGAAATGAAGAAATGGGCTCCACTGTTTACACATGATTCATTGGATTATATTCTAAAAAGTCCATGTTAACTATGGAGTAATGATGAGTTTCATTTACTATGATCTTTTAAGAACATAGCCAGATCCACTTCTCTTCAGCTACTCTTTGCCTCCAAGTTGGGCAATCCGAGGGGGCTGCCTCCTCTATGTGTGCATCCCACTCTTTTTTGGCCATTAATCCCACTGTGTAGCCACTGTCTTTGTCATCCATAGAGGTGGTTCCCCAAACTACAGCCAGTCACTTGGATCTGCCTCTGCCCTAAATTCTGGAAATGCTTCTACTGTTGTGCACTAGGCTTACCGCTGTCTTTATCAGGCAATTTTGGCAGGAGGAGCTAGATTCATGCTGAATTAGCAAGCTGGAGTAACAGAAGAACGAATGGTGAACTTCTATGCTTGAGTGGCAGAGAGAGGAAGGGGCTTTAAAAAGACACTTTTACTGGAGTGGAATGCAACAACAGTAAATGGAAAAGTGAGATGAATTACATGTAGGATTTCATGATCATGACTTCCTTGATTACTCTGCATTTGCACAACACTTCTTGGGTATGGAAACTTATTTATTTATTTTAAAAATCCTCACTTTTCACAGTTAAAAAACAAATCCCAAAGCTTCCAGGATAATGCTATGCTAAAGTCATGGCAGAAGTCTTCACATTCATAGTCAATCAACACTCATCTCCCCCTCTGGAGCAAAGTCCATTATCCGCTGATGAAGGTTGACAACATTAGTAGTCTTCATATTTTATAAGGCAGCATTTGTCAAACATTTTGCAACTGCAAACAACCAAATAAACTTTTGGAAAGTGCATGGATCATTAAATTATACAAATGCCCCTGCCTATGTTTTTATCTTTAAGAGCTGGCAGTTCATGTTTTTCAGCGAGTAATAATTATAGTTGCATTTGTGTAGGCTTCCCCATCCCCTCCATTGTTTAGGCCTTTTTAAACTAAATATTGTACCAGAAAGTCTAATCCAAACAGAAGTATTTAAATAAGTATCCATTTACCACTTGAATTATTTTATGTACCCATGCTATAACAAAAATGCCTCCTAGCGCAAACCAATGTTTCTGTTATATTTACATTTAAGAGTTTTTCTTCCCCTGGCATGACCATGAGGATTTTAATGCATTGTTTGCTTTTTAATCCTTGTAAGCTACCCAGAGTTGTCGCAGAGTGGGCAGCCTTAGAAATGTTAATTATTTATATGTAAAATAATAAAGAAACAAATTAACCAACTACGTAACTTACTTGCTGGTCAAAATATTCTTCAGTACAAATCTGTGGTAGTAGGAGGCTAGGCAAGTAGATTTCCAGCCCAGTGAAATCCCATGTTTACTTATTCATTGCTGCATTTCCTATTCACTACTTTCCTTCTGAGATGCTTGTATGAGATCACGTTCACTTATGAGCAGATATGAACTCATAATCAGCAACTGTACCTGAAACTACTTCACTCTTACCAGTTTTCAGAGTTTTAATACTCATGTTGCTGCTTGTATTATCACTTATATGCTTCAATTAGTCAGTTTCCCGCCAGTGATCTGTTTCTACAAACCAGCTGACTCATGGGGATAGCCAAGAATTGGGGGCTGACAGGGCAAAAAGACTCCAGCCAGCTGGCTGGTAGTGAATGCAGAGAGATGCAGTAGATCACTGCGAAGCACATTTTGAGAATTTCCGAAGGAAGTTCTGAAAGACTATTATGCAGTTTGCCTGGGGTTCCCAATCTCAATGTTTTCTGAATTAAAGCATTCCTTGAAGAATTATGGACAATTTTTGCCCATACCAATTTTTGGGTCTGAGTTATGGTAGTTATTATTACATAAATAAAAGGCAAGTACTTAATTTTATTGATACCTCCAATGGAATGTCCATTGTGACAGAACCACCATCGGGATTGCTTGAAAATAGTAATATAAGGATATCCCTTCCTAAGAATAACTGAATTAAATAATAATAATACTAATAATAATTCCACTTGAAGCCATACTTAAAAGATTCTGAAGATTAATTGGTGGCTTTCCTGAGAAGGAAGTTACATTTTTACTCAGAAGAACTAATGCCAATTCTCACCCATCTCCTCCCACTTAACTCAACTCCCACCCAACTCCTCCCACTTGCTCCTTTGACTAAATGCTGTTGTAAGGAAGTTACTAAATGAAGATGCAGTCCTGGTTTTGGCTTGAGATGCCCCCTGGTGATTAAACAAGATTGTTACCAAGGTCTCACAGTTGGGCAAAATCTTAATATATCACTGTTGTTTCCATGGACAGGAAACTTCCATTTTGAGGAAGCTACTGCCTTGGAAACTGACAAGCTATGAAAATACCTGGAAGGAAACCAACAGTATCAGTTGGTCTATAGCTAATTCACTCTGATCAGTTTCACTCCTGCTCTCCTTGCTTGGGTTACTGGTTGCGTGGAAGAGTTAGAAGGAAGGGAAGAGAAAAGGAAGAGGTTTGCCAGCAGTCAAGATTGCCTGGATCAGTCTCAAATGTGTTTCAAATCAGAATCAGAAAGGTTGGGATATAGAAAGCCTGGCCATCTCAAAGTGCTGTAGAGTGTGGCAATTAAAGTCCCTTTGTGACATTATGAAAGTGAACATAGAGAAACAAACAAAAAAACAAAAAACAAACCATGGTTTGCTTCACATTAACTGACCTAATGTATACTGATGTGCCAACTGAAGGATCATTACCCTTCTTTTTTCACACTTCTCCAAATTTGTGATAGAGTTGTCCAGTCAAAATATTCTATCAAAATACCCATGTTAGGTATTTTGATAGAATATTTTTCTATCTTTGCCATGCAAATATGTGTTTATTCAGGAAGAATCTACAGAAACACATATTAATTTTCATACGAATTCCGCCATCACAGTTTAATAAAAGAAATGAGACCAAACAAACTTTGAAATACTCAAAAGCAATTAAAAGTGAGTCAGTGAAATCCATCCATCCATCATCCATCTCCAATTACAGCCTCATGTTTTCTGGTATGCCAAACATCTTTGTGGCATGCAACTCTCTATTCTTGTGTAGGATCTATTTGCAGGGATGCTCTCAAAAAGGATTAAGAGTAGAGAAATTGAGAAAGTGCCATAAAACTAGGACAAGGCTCTACTCTTTTTAAAGTGTGTGTAATTTGAAATGAAACAGATTCCCACGGTGAATTCTTTTTCTAGGAAAAATCCTCATTTCATATTATCCACCTGGATTATGTCCATGATTTTTTCTTCTTAAACTTTTTTGGGTGGGACACCAAATTTTTAAGTTAAGGTTGATGTCCGTTTTGATCTGGCTTGATTTTCAAGGGATGGTACTGCATCTTAATTTCATTCCTGGTTAAGAATGTGCCCCTCCAATTTCTGGCAAGAATTCATCAGAATTTGCAGGTCATTAATCTTTGTAACACATAGCTTGGCCTGCCTTCCTTTGCCAACCCAGGCAAGAAATGATTTGCAGTAGTGTCTTGAATGACTGAAATAGAAAATCCAAAGGGTGCCTTTGTCAACAGTCATAAATAATAATAAAGAATTGGAAAATGACTGTCTTAAAATGATACCTCCAAAAGCATTTGCCTGCTGGTAAAACCAATCCTGCAGATTTTGTGTTGTTGAACAACTTGTGAAACAGTGTCTGATAACCAAAAGAACTTAAGATAGAAATCTTAACTTTTTGTAACAGTTCCATGTCTTTCTTCTCTTGCTTGGAACCCTCCTCCGCTTTTCCTTGTACCACAGGTGCTGGATTTTGGATGGCCTGACTTGCACACACCTGCCCTGGAGAAGATATGCAGCATCTGCAAGGCCATGGACACGTGGCTCAATGCTGACTCACACAATGTGGTAGTGCTGCATAATAAGGTGAGAGGAAAGAGAAGGATTTCCCTGGATGGTGGTTGCAGGGGCAACCGTGGGATTTGCCTCTGCTTAGGTGCCATAGTTAAGGCAAAGATCATTTGGCAGACAGATTGGACAATGGCAAATGGAGCCTCAGAGTAGTTTTAATTTAGATTTCATAAAGCGAATACATGACTAGTGCATGTGATCTCAAGGACCACTTTGTTTATGGTTAGGACACTCTCATTCTCCTGCCCATAACTTTCTTGCTAATGGCTAAAGGATCATCTTCTGAATTGTTATCCATGAATAGAAAATGTATTCTCATTTTTGCAGTGGTCTATCTGCTATATGCATGCTATTGCCATGTTCCTAGTAAATTGCTATGCATGATTGTATATTTTTTTCCCCATCTCTGATTACTGTAAAGCAGTTTCTGCTAATTTTGTGCTAGAATTTGCCTTCAACTGGATGCTCAGACTGTGCTGCAGATAGTGGTGAAAACAGGATGTGTAGTCTCAGCACAACTTTCTTGTGATGGGAATATTTTCTGCTTTTTCCACCGAACTTCCTGTTCTCACTGTTTAGCTTTCAGTTTTATCGACACTATTCAGAACTCTAATATTGTTTGTTGCTGTGCGTTTGTGGCTGGCCTATGCATGCTTCTGCATTGCTGGTGCTTCCATCATTTAATACTGTTATTTTTAAAGATGCTCTATAGTGTATCAGATTTGATGTAGTTTAGAAGTTATTTCCTCTCCCCTGGACATTCTGGATGCTGTAGACTCGAGAGACATAAAACATGAGTTTTAGCAGCTGCATCAGACTAGACTTCCCAAGAATTTTTGAAGAAAAACCTGAACAGTGAAACTAGGATAAAATTCAGTAAGTCTGCAGTGCCTAATACATCAATAGAAGCTTTCTTCCCATGCTTGTTCATGGGTGATACTCTTTGGTTGTGTTAATGTAATGTGTGTAAGCAATCAGTTGAAGAGCTGTCAGCTCCACTTGTCCAATGGGACAAACTTTGCTTGTTTTAATCTTGGTTTGTCTGTCTGTCTGCTGGTTGACTTAGCATGCTTGCAAACCCACCCAGTTTATTTAGCTTATATTTATTTAATAAATAAATTTTTAGCACAAGTGTCTTGTGCAAGCTCAGAAAATGGATGGATTCACCAACCAGGGTTGTGTGAATGTTATCCTTGGTTGCCAGAACCTGAAAATGACTTTCTGCTGCAACTCATTTCTTCTTATTCTTTTGGAGCTGCTGGATGTCAAGACCTTTGTTCTATGCTTCTATTCTCTTACTATCACTACACAATTTGTATTACTCTGATGAGGCAATCTTATTGCTGTAATCTGAGCCTTTTGTTCTTTCCACTTGCATTATAAGACATAGACAGTGTAAGTTTCTCATGAAATAAATCTATAGGTGTGTTTTCTTGCTCCTTTGTTAAACACATTAGCCCCTGGGCTGAATTGCAGACAGTGGAAAAAGCAGGTATGTTATTTTCCTATGAGAGTAACATTAAATCAGGGAAAGTAATGAGGATGGGAGAAGGGGGAAGTTTGTCAGTACACTCAAAGTGCCACTAGGGATGTAGAGAAGATATTGGATGAGTAATAGTTGTTCAACTTAATAGGCATTCCAGTTCATCAATCACTGCCCCAAATTCTCTAGGTAGTGGTGCATTTGTGAAAATTTCTAAACTGCACACCTGCCCTTTCAGGAGAACTGCAACACCATTTAAGATCACTTTGACTATAAGATTGTGAGTATACTGAAGACATTAAGTTTTAGTGATCAGTGGACTGGAGTAGATGATTTCTAAGATTGCTTCCAACTCCATGTTCTGTGGTTCAATGATCTGATGTCTTTCTATTGTGGTCTGTTTGATCATGAGTAAAGGAATATAGATAGGGGTTTTTTTATTGCTTCAAATCCCCTTACGATGTGATTGGTTTCTTATAGAAGTCTCTTGAAATAGACAGGGGGCCTCATGAAATTAATCTGCAGGCTACAAGTTATTTATCCCTGAAACATGTAAAGACTGACCACAGACTCAGAGCCAAATTAGACATGATGGAGCAGCCGCTTGCATATTTGCCCTGCTCCCAAGAATTGGATCAGATAGGATCAGTTTCTTTTAAAAAGGTTTGAAATAGGAAGCTGCGGGAGGGTACTAACATTTTATCAGATGCACTACCTTTCTTTTTCTGTTCCTTTCACTTCTATTGTTTGTGCTAAGATGAGATAAAAATGCTTAATGCAAAGGAACATTGTGAAGTGAAGGAAAGGAGGGGAGTTTAGTTAAACACTCCCATCAGTTCACATCAAGACAAAAAAAGCAGATATTCTCCTGTCAGTGAGAGTGGAACAAATAGAGTAGATGTAGCTGTCCTGTCACAACCTCAGTTCCATATTCTGAATTGTCCATCACATTGCACTGACTTTCTAATTTTAAAACAGCCCTGTGATAATGCCCAAAACAATTTGTTCTTCATCTCTATGTTTGAGGGGTACCAGAGATACATAAGTTTTCTCCACAATTTTTCCCAGAAGAAGACTGAAATACCAAAACATACAGCAAAATCCAAAATCCCTTCAGCAGTTATTCTTCAAGGGGGCAGCGCCATCTATTGGTTAATTTGCTTCATTGGACTACAATCCATATATATTTATGGAAGAATACATGTGTTTGTCTTTATAGCACCCTTTATAGATTTTCTACCCCTTTGGAAACCATTGTTCAGTCATACCTTCCTGTAAGACATTCATGGTAGTTTACTTCTGCCAACTTACTTAAGCTGTGCCTCTGTTCATCTCTTATAATAGTTGACTGGTCCAAGTGGAGTTTGTTCCCATTCACAAATATGTCCAATATTATGGGGAGTTATTCCTGGAAATGTGCAAGGAATTTCACCTTTTCAAATTTCAGTACAGATCAGCACCATCTGCTTCAGACTTCCCTGACCTGATGCCCTCCAGCTGTGTAAGGACTGAAGCCTCCAATACCCTCATTCAGATGATGGAGGCTAACAAGGCACCCTGGGAGCTGGGAATCTCAATATATCTGGAAGATGCCAGATTGGGAAAAGCTGTCCTGCACTAATACATGGAGTCTATGATAAATTAGCTTTCACATTTTCAGAAAGTTCTGGTGCGTTTTATAGCCAACGTATTTACAGAAGCATTGTATGGGAAAGCAAATTTACAAATAGGAATTGTGGAGTTTTAAAAATCAGATTAATGAGAGAGAGAGAGGGAGGGAGGGAGGGAGGGAGGGAGAGAGAGAACAAGATGGGCTTGTGGGTGAATACATTGGAAACAGGTTAATTCTTCCATTTAATTAAAATCTCTTCCCTTCAGAAAATGCTGTCCAATGGCATTAGTGAAGATAAAAGTACTGTAGTCTTTCCTCTGTCACATATTATCTGCTACCAAGGCTGTTAACTGATTCCTTCCTTTCTCCCTTTTTTATGTCTGCAGGGGAACAGAGGCCGAACAGGGGTTGTTATTGCTGCTTACATGCATTATAGTAATATTTCAGCCAGGTAAGAGAACCTCATACTGGGGGTTGTATGAAGAGTTAGAAAAGCAGTGGCTTTAATTCAGACTGTGGATTAATAGTGATATTGGAAATCTGCTTATTTAAAAACTTAGCAGGTCTGCTTTGATGATAGAATCCAAATCTTAAGCAAAGCCTGACTTCCTTCCCAACACATGCTCACACATACACATATCATCCAAGCTTTCTGACATGATTATCAAAATCATGTGGCATTGTTGCATATTTCTGTTACTTTGCCTAAAATTCTTAGATGGATCAGGAAATTGCTTAGACCATCTTCTGTGAATGTGAGATTACCCACAGTCCTTTTCGCTGCTAGAAAAAGCATCTCGGTTTAGTTCATAAGAACATGAAGAGTTTTGCTGATCACAAGTGGACAAGCACAAAGGAAAGAGGCCAAGGGGTGGGGGTGGGGAATGAAAACATGAAATATATATTTTACACTGAGCTGGGGTGCAAAGTGCTTGGTGTGTGTGTGTGTTATTCTCACTATTAGATTGCTAAGGATTCATTATTGATAGAGGGATGTCTTGCTGCATTTCTACAGTTAAGTAATCTATCCCCACCCCAGACTAGAAGTCAGAACTTCAAAAAGGGGCGAGATAATATTTATTACAAAAGACAAAGAGGCAGTGGCTCGTGGTCTAGATGCAAATGTAAAACAGAATCGTTGTCTCAAATCTGATACCCCCCTTAACCCAGTTGGAGGGCACTGGGTTGAGAAAGGCTGGTACAGAGATGATTGCTGTAAAATTGCTGTTTTCAAGCTGCCCCAGTGCAGTTTTAAATTTAAATCGGCAAATTTTATTTTACTGATGAAACTGTAGTATTTGTGATTGAAAATAAACAGTGGTGGATGGGCAGGTCAAGGTACTGCAGAATGAACTCCGATGAAACTCTATCATTCACGAGGCTGTGCTTGTATTGACCCTTCTCTTTATTCCACAGTGCAGATCAGGCTCTGGACCGCTTTGCCATGAAAAGGTTCTATGAGGACAAGGTGATTCCAGCTGGGCAGCCATCTCAGAAGAGGTTAGCCTTCCTCCCTTTTTTGGGACAGACCCTGATGTGCTCTCAACACATCCACGTAGAGATGCTCAGAGGGCACATTGAGCTTCTCCATTCACTTAAAAATTATGCTCTCTGTTCATGTACAAAGAATAAGCCCCAGTATTTATTATTCATTACTTGTTCAGGACCAGAATTTAACAAACCACAGAGTTGTAATTAGGGATGAAGTGAACTTCAACCCCAATCATAATCCAGATCAGAACCATGGCTTCCAAAAGACAAGGCCCACAGATTTCTCTTGGGTTTTGGGCTCCTGCAGTACACAAATGGTAGATACGGCATACATGCTCATAAAACAAAGGTATTTAACCTAGAATCAACTGTTTTTGCTTGGAGACCTTTAATATTTGTAGATACTGTAGTTGCAAATGTAGATAATGATGCTCAGAACACCTCCAGTGCTGCTGCAAATTTTGTTAAGTTACCAGTGTCCTATTTAGCTTCTAATGTATTACCAGTCAATTTCACTTGGTGGTGCTGAGCCAGCAAAGATCTACGCTTATCATTTTTGATAGGCAAAAGCTTTCCAGTCTTGCAGCCATAAAACTTCTTTGCATGCATTTTCCTTTTAAAGGACACAATGATAATTTCAACATCAACATCTGAACTTTGAGTAGTAGGATAAAGAATCTCTTATGGCAGTCTTTTGAGTACTGAAAATAATTAGCACTAATTATTTACGGTGAATTAGGCCATCCACAATTCTACATAAAGTGAAATAGAGACTTAATAGCCCTTTGAGGCCTATACTTGTACAGTCATGTTGAATGGGATTCATCCCAAACTAAACTTACATAGGTTTAGATAACTTCTTGCACTGTAGAAAGTACTTATTAAGGAACAACAGGGGAAAAGGTTAGACCTCCCACTTTGCTGTATGGAATTTGGGAGGCCATCTTCTTAAATGGCCAACTTTATGTTTTTTTGGTATCCATCTAGAAGCCTGATCCAGATGTCCAGTCATAGGTTTTCAAGGTCAACAGAATCATTAGTGCTAACAATACTGGGAGAAAGAAAATGGCATGAGCAGTGATTTATGTGTAATGGTTGAAAATAACAGCAGCACTTTGCTTTTCTTTCTCATGTTTGCTCTAAAGACAACAAGACAGGCAGAAAGAAAGAAAAGTATGAGAATGCATTTTTAATCTTTTTCACAAAATGATTATATCGCTTGAAATAATAAAGAAATCCTGACATTTTAATAAAAGAAGCACCCTCCCCAAGTCCTTAGATTATTAGGCTGTCTGTCTGTCTGTCTATCTATCTATTCACATATCTGAAAAGCTCTCATGCAGAAGAAGGCCACAATGTGGTCTCTTATTCCAGACGGTTGCATATAGGATAACAGTTTTAGATTTGATGGCATACCCCTTCAACCCTAGTGACTCACTGAAGTATACATATTCCAAGAGACTCCAGCTAACTGCCCTGCTACTATCTTGGTTTCTACTCTAGATACGTCCATTACTTCAGCGGTCTGCTATCTGGCACCATCAAAATGAACAACAAGCCCCTCTTCTTGCATCATGTCATCATGCATGGGATCCCCAACTTTGAGTCTAAAGGAGGTAATTGACCTTTCCATCACACATTGTAGATATCATTCAATTATAGCTCTCCACTGGGTGGGAAGATACCATACCAGTTCCTACAACTTCTTTCTTTTCTCTGTTGACTACCTTTATGTCCAGAGCTCTTCCAAAGGGATGGAGTTGTAGGCATGCTGAAGTGACAGAATGGACTACCACATTTTCAAGCATCAGTGGGAGAATCCTGTTCTTGAATGGTCTCCTGTAGTAAAATCTCTGTAGAAATAGAAAGCCAGATAGGGAACAGGACTGCTCCCACTGATGTGTCAGGGTTGTGTTTGCAGGGATTTCATTTTTCCTGGGAGCAGCACCCCACAGTTGTGGCTGAAAATGGTGAAGCCTCTTCTACCACTTCTGCATACTGCTTCCCCTTGCTACTCCACTTCAGTCTTAGTTGCTCTAAAAAGGGCTTAGCCGTATGTGTAAGAAGACCCGAGAAGGGATGAGCAGAACAGATAATATAAAATCTGTTTTACTGTCTGCGTTAATAATGTAGAGTCAAGCTCAGTGTGCTTACTTGGACACATTCGTGCCAAGTTTTTGCCAACATGATCAATCATCTTCTAGATTTTTTTCAACTTTCTAATCCATCCTACAGCCTGAGTTTCCTGGTAGTCTTCCATCCGAGTACTAACCAGCCCTGAACCAGACTAAGCTGGCTAGGTGATGCCACCTGTTGTTTTAGTTGGGTGAGATTCTCATCTGTAGATTTTTTAAAAAACGATTTTGAAAAACATACATATACTCAATGCAAATTCTTTTTTTTTAAGGTGACTTTTAAAGTATGGGGAGGGGTGTGGATTTTGATCAGAGAAACAGGAATGCCAGTGGATTCTGTTCAGTGTTGCTGTTTCTGCTATGGACAGAGCTATTTTGATAGATTTTTAAATCTGTGGTCATAGAAATAAGTGGTGGTGAATTTTCCTTGAATCCTGAGGCCCAAGGCCCTCCCAGTGAAAAATATATTTCATCATTCTCTTCCAAAAGTCCATATATGTAGCAAGAACAGATATAAAAAGGAACCTTTAAACATACTGGTATATGAGCAAAGTCCTCTTCCCTAATGTAGTAATAATAATAGTAGCCTTTATTAAGATCCTTTCCTAATGTTCCCTATAGATGCAGAGCAGAGGGTGAAGTAATGGTAGGGCTGATTTGGGATTTTATATATAGAAAGAGCTAAACTCTTTTTATAACTCCTGAATAGGGCTTCAGTCACAGCCACAACCTCTACTTTTAAAGCATGTCTTTCCTAGTTTAAATTAGCACATTTGTTACTTTACTCAAGAAGATTGGATCAGTTCTTACCTGCTCCAAAAATCAAGCCAGCTTCCCACCACTACTTCTTTTAAAAATAGTTCCGATTTACTCAATCAGAATACAGCTCTTATGTTCCTAATCAGGATAATTGAGAAGAGCAAAGAATAGAGCTACCCCGTGTAGCATCAACATAATGCAGTTATAGTGTGATTTATATCCTAAAGGGTAGGATAAGCTTTCAGCAGTCTAAAAGGTTAGATTCATCAAAATATCTGTCTCTACCTAACTTGATCATGTTGGTCTGGATGTTGGGCATATAACTGTCAAACCAAAGGCTATCTTAGCTCATTTAATTTTCCGTTTCCTGGGCTTTGGCACTTAGTATAATGCTATATCAGAGCTGAGCAGGGGAAGTGTTAGACCGTGCTTCAAAATAAAATATAATCCTGCTGCTTGACTGTGCCTTATTGTTCCCCACAACATCTATCACTGTCACAAACCTAGCGTTGTTTGTTACAAGGAGGGTAGTGTCACTGAAAGCTTCTCCTCCAGCGAGATGGTTTGCCTTGGCCCCTTGTTTGTGTTCCCTTCTGTTTGTGTTCCCTTCTCTGTAACTAATCTCACTGACTAATGAAGGTCCCTTTCTCTCTGTCTCTGTTTTAGGCTGCCGGCCCTTCCTCAAGATATATCAGGCAATGCAACCGGTCTACACATCTGGAATCTAGTAAATGGAGTTGGCATTATTTTCTTGATTTCCAGCACTCAGAGTTCTTCTCAGTCATGATGCAAATCAGAGTAGAACTTTTCATGAGCTTTGCGGTAGAGGTGGTGTCCTGTAGACCTTGTTCTGCATGTTATTCTGAGCTTTGCTCTAGAGCAGTGTTGTCCAAACTTGGCCACTTTAAGATGAGTGGACTTCAACTCCCAGAATTCCCCAGTGGGCTGGGGAATTCGGGGAGTTGAA